AAGGCTTCATTTGCCTCTTCTACAGCTAAAAAATAGACAAAAATAATACATTTAAAACATTTTAAGCCATATTGGGATGTTTTGCTTCACTAACAGCAAAAATGCACTTATTTCACATAACAGAATTTTGCATGAAAACCTAAAGAAAGTGTAGAAAAATGTTAAATATATTTTGTAAAGAGCAGTAACATCCTAGTTATATTGTTTTCCACATAAACATATTTGTACCTTTAATGACTGTGCCTCTTCACACAAAGAGATCAGAATCTACTTTTGTTATCTCCTTTTCATTTTATAATCTTTACATTTCTTGTAATAATGACTTAAAGCTGTGCCTTAAATACAAAGTGATATATTAATTAAAGATAAAATATGAAACTTTTCTTTTTTTTAAATAGGTTTAATAACATCAAAAGGCTATACCTTTCAGAAACACCTTTGCCAGCTGTCGGTAAGGGGCTTTCTCTTTGCTTCCCTTGTCTCCTTCTTGAAATAGAAAGACACGCCCCCTATGGGTCCAGTAGTACTCATGCGATCCAAAAAAATTTGATGGCAAATTCCCCAATGTCATGTTCTAGCTTCTTAATATTCAGTGGTACAGACGTTGGGTGACATATTTCTGCTGGCCACCACCTGAATAACGAAGTTATTGTATATTTTTAACATTGAAGGAAAGTTTAAGATTATCATTTAAAGTTAATAGCATTCACTTTTAACAAAAATTATAAAGTCTTTTCTCGGTTAGGTCTCATACATAAACTTATGAAAACTACAAATTTATGAATTACCATTTAGTAGTTTGTTATATCTTTGTAATAACTCAAAAAATCTCTAATTGTTAATTTCCACATTTTTTAAAAACAAAATCACATCTTCCATTTATTTTATGTTTCAATTATAAAGTTATATTGTTATCAGCTTTAGTTTTATGTTATTCCTGAAAAATACATGCCCCTAAACAGGTACTATTTGTAAACTTCTTTTAATTCTGGTTTTAATTGCAATCTAAAGCTTATTTTAAAATAAGTGTGACATCTGGAGTACAATTTATAAGGTTTTATCTTTTATTTTTAATCTATGACTGGTTTCCTGGAGATATGTAATCAATAAAGGCAAGATTAGTTGAAATATAAAAATAAGAGCATCTAAGCAGTGCATCTGATCCAGTATTTTTGAACAGGTATTTACAACAGTACTGTAAAATTAGCTCTTCAGTCCACCATGTTACCATGGATTCTATGTGTTATGGAAAAAATCACATGTCAACTAATTTTAATTTCAGTATGGATATATATGTTTATCAACATGTTTTAGTAAACATTCTTCCACAGGCATAGGAGAATACTGTCAATATGGAGAAGTCTTAGCTCCTGGCTTACTTTAACATTGCATAAATGATTAACAAATATCTATTATTTTCCAATTTTATTATTATTAAACAGAGAAGTTCACAAAATGTTATGTTTCTTCTAAGCACCTACCTATAAGGCCCCAATTTGACCCATACAATATCTCCATAACGTGGATGTTTTCTCATCTCACAGTCTTCACAAAAGTAACTGCCTTCAGGAGCTTTGATGTCCAGACATTCCGCATGAAATGCAGAAGGGCATGACTCACAGCAAATTAGGCTTCCCCCTTAAACATATGGGCAACACAAATCGTTTATAAAAACATGTTCATCAGATATAAAGGAATAGACTATAAAGTTACATTTGAACACAAAAACAGGCTCTTCAGGTGTGTGTGTGTGTGTGCTATAACTACTTTATCTACTACAAAGTTAAATGGACATATAAAAAATAATTAGATAATATAACAATTTTTTTGGCACTTTGATATCCATAATTCATTCAGAACCAAATGCTACATTTTATTTAACTCTTCCCTAATTTATATTTGTCATTTGGCTAATGGTTTTTCTTTCAAAGCCAGTGGAATGAGAAGTACCATATTTTACAGATGTGACTTTAACAACACCTAGATAAAATTTAATAAGCATTATCTTGCTCTGTGCTAAACTTTTTTCATCCATACCTATAGAACAGATGAAGCACCAATTTACATTGACATGTGTTTGGTACTGCTTTCCTTTTTTGGGGTAGAAGTGATTTGCACAGATCATCTGCGTAGGACTAACAGTTACTGATCCTGCAGCAATACAGCTGTCACCCATGTGATAGGCCGTTGGACACCGGATGCACCGAATGTATCGTGCTGGTGAAATAAGCAAGACAAATTTATGGTAAAAAACAATGAAATATTTTGATATAAACACAAAATTATTACAATTTTGGTTTCAGACATGACTACTTTGCCAGAATTATCAAAACTTCCTTTGGACATATAATATGATTTATCAAGCATGGTCCCCAAGATAATTCTGTAAATATAAACACACAAAAGTTAAGTAGATTAGTAGTGCCAAAGAGTGTACTAGTTGCTAAAACCTTTTGAATATGAGAGAGATTAAAAACTACTGACAGAAAATGATATTTGAAATAGTTGCAACAACTCAAACAACTCAACAGAATCTGAAATGAAGCAGTACAACATAAAAAAATAACAAGTTTGCCAAAACAGTGACAAACCACCTTAATAATTATTACTACTACCATTTTTTTTAAACTTCTTCAGTATTACTAACTATTTCCTCCAAGCTGAGATAAATCAATGGTCATTCATGGTTCCTATATTAGATTAAATCTCGTATTATTATCTTATTAACTATCTTTTTATTCAACACTTAGATTTTACCCTGTGTATGCCAGTGAGCTGGATATGGAAACAAAATGCAAGTATGCTCAACTAAAAATATTACCTGGCATTTCCTCTCCATCAGGCCTGGGTTAACCATTAATCAAAATAAGCACATGCTTAGGGCACCACAGAGTTTTTTCCAGTGCTGGATTTACCATGGTGTAGCTGAACTAGGACCCCAGAAAAAGGGGGCCCCCACAACAAATGAAAAAAAAAACAACATATATACATATACAAGAAGAATATTAATAATAAAATATTACTATACAACAAAATTGGAATCTGGCAACTGCCAAACGGAGCAACCTCAATGGCTCGCTCTGTCAGTGACAGTTGTGCGGCAGCCAATGCCAGTAGAGATATGTGATGGTTTGTGTATTGATATAGCTATTGAGTGTTGTAAACTACTAAGTGCTGTAATCTGCAGTTTACATTGCTTAGGCAAAACAGTCATGAGTAACACTGTTCATCATAAAACACCTCGAAAATTCGAAATATTGAAGTATCAAGTAAGCTCCTGAATTTCTCATTAAATTAATTACTTTATATTAACAAAATGAAGGGGTAGATATTTTAACTATATAAACATATTGTGTTACTAAATAAAAGGGCAGTGAAAATTAGTTAAATAGAACGTGGTACAAATGTAAGTTAGCCTAGGCCTAGTTGTTACACTAATTCAGATTAAACCAAAATGGTTTAATTTAAGTTATTTTATAAATTATCAGGTGTTGTAATACATGTTCTTAAATAAAAATATGGGTAACTTAGCCTATGCTATATTGTTCTTAAAGCAGGTACAGGTGGCTAAGATTTAGTGAATTTCCAAAGTCAATTCACTGAGTTCCAAATCATCCATATACCTAAAGTTCAAACTTCAGTATGTTTGATGGTCTTACTAACGTTTTTTTTGCATGCATTTCAGTGTTTTCTAATCATTATAAATATATATGATCCTTATTCTTTTATGTGTTTTTTTATTTTTACTTTTGTATTTTTCATACCCTAAGATGAAACGTGTTCAATTAATTGGTGCACAAAAGAGAAAACTAGCAAAAAAGAACTGTAAAGCTGATTAATTTTTTTCACACAAGTTACACAACATGATCTTCTGGATCAAAACCAATCTCCGTCATCAGAAGTGGACACTACTACGGTTAGTACTACCATTTTGTTCACTTCAAGATCAGAATATCATGACGACATTGAGGTCAATGAGGTGTCACAGGCTGGTTCAACTAGCACATGTCTCACTACTGATCTCACTTTGCCTGTGAATTCTCTTGATATCTCTACTGCAAATGCAAGTTGCTTTACAAGACAGTCTGAAGTTGAAATAATTGCTGAAAATGAAAGTCTACTGGATCATGGTGAAATGATTCAATCTGCAAAACATGAAGTAATTAAAGCAAAAGAACCAGGGTTGTGGCTCGATTTCTCTGCTGATGGTGTGGTTTATTGGATTGCTTGTGGACCCAGTGACTGCCAACACCACAATGGGCCATTTGACAAATCTTACCAGACTTTCAGTAGTAGCAACCAGGAAGATACTGTTCACAAAAACTTCTCTTTGGGGTAAAAAAAACCAATGGTGAGCAATACAAGAGAGAGTGGTTATTGTATTCACCATCAACAGGGTCGGTCAGTTTACAATTTTGTTTGTAAACTTTTTGCTCCTAAATGTGCCTCGTATTTTGTTAAAAGAGAAGGATTCAGTGACTGCGAAATACTATTGTAATTGATCATCATGAAAGAAGCACTACTCACCGAGACTCTATGCTAACATACTTAACTCGGAGATACCGTTTGGGCTTGGGACAACAGTTGGAAAAACAAATTAAAGAAGAGTACAATTACTGGGAATGTCTCTTGAGGCGTGCAATAGCTGTTATTTGTACGTTAGCTGAACATGGCATGGTTTTAGTAGGAACAGATGAAAGATTTGGGTCATTGCAGATGGGAATTTT